CGGACTAATTATATTTTTAATTTTCATACCCTGTCATCATCCCCATTCTGTTACTAGTCCCAAATATACCTACTTACCAAACTCTAAGCCATTATTAAATTCAAGAACCGAACCCGGGATTATGTTCGGCAGTTGTAGCAGCCCTTGTTTTTGGAGCAGATACCTAAAATTACAGGTGCGACTGCATTTTATGTCATCATAATAATGTAAAATACTATTCTGATGCTAGAAACTATATATAGGAACTTGTACCTACATAAAGAAAGCTCTGAAAGCTATTCCTGCAAGGAATTGATAATATATTTTAGCGACATTATATAATCAAAGATTTTAGCATAAATCTGAAGTACCTACGGTCAACGGGTGGAAAAAATACTTTTAGAATGTTTCTTCTCTGGTTTGTACCTACTTCTATATTATTTGGTTAATAGGCAAGCTCAGAATCAAAAGTATTTCTTATATTTCTTCTCACTTTTTAAAATGTGTGTTCAAAAGAACTAGAAACCAATCAATACAAATAAAAATAATTATATAAAAACAAATATTGCAAGCAGAAAGTTCGATATTCAAACCAAACGTCATGTCACCACAACTTTTTACTAAATACGCATGAATGGCAAAGGTAATGTAGCATTCAGCCTATCGAACCGGACACCGATGAATGAAATGAGACAAACACTGTATTCTGTTAATGAATGTCCAATTAATGTTGCCAGGCTAACCTGATTGACTGGCCGACCGATGTTGTATGCAACATTTCATACAAAAGGCCACGATGCCTCACTGGCTATTACGCCTACAGGTTGCTTTTATGAATCGTAAAAATAATAACATCGTAAATTGAATTCGTAAAAAATATTGAAGATTTATTTTTAACTTGTATTGTTAAAGGTCGTGTTTGACTAGGAAGGTGGTGAAAGCTGAGAACCTTATCTCACTACCTACATCTATATATATAAATACAAATTGTAAATATCTATTTAAATAAAACTATTTCTTTGCATGTTCTATTTATATCCTAGTTCGAGCTTACATCAATAAAACTGAAATCATAGCCAATCATGCTCATTCATAATTAACAAATTTAACGTATATACATCGATAGCACAATGACTGGGAGACGAGTTCTTATAGATGAACATATTACCTTATGCTCCTGACGTACCTACCTAAGTAACTATAGGTCAACGACCATACTTTGCTGTGCGGTCCTTGGGGTAGGTAGAGAAGCCTATATAATAATTATTTAACCACACAGCAGTCTGTGCTTACTTAAACAGTAACATAACATCACGCATTAGGTATAGCCCCAACGGGGTAGGCAGAGGTGCACATTACGGCACTTAATGCGACTGTACAATGTAACACCCACTTTTCACTATTTATGTTATGAGTCTTATGTAATAGGGGGTGAGCCTATTGCCATATACCGGGCACTATTCTAGATAATTTGCCTATTTCAAATGCATAGGTACTTAGGTACTGAGAATACTACATAATAATTCTGAAAAAGTTAAAAAGTAAGTTAGGTACTGGTAGGTATATTACTTTGCAAGACCCTGATAACCAATGATAACCAAAACCATGCATTTTTTTTTAATAGGTATTATAGATTATTTCTCCACGGACTCTAGGTCCGTGCCCTTGTCATACAGTTTTTTAATTATAATACATCTAGTCAATTTTTATAAAGTAAAGAGGGAACCTAATTACACACTACAATTAACTACATCTATAATTATTACCAAAAGTATAGGTTACATAATAATTAGGCACTATTTATTTATTTCTATTTCAAAGGCTTTATGAAACCAGCCCACCAACAAGATGGGAGAGCCGACTGACCCAGCAGAAGGCACCCGTTCACGAGTATGACGTGTGTGTCAGCAATTGGTCCGGTCAACCTTTTTATTGGGAACGGAACAACCCAACACACAGCGCCACCGACTGTAGGACATTTATGTGTGCATGACGCCTCAACCCTTGCCACATGGGCCGATTCCAATAAAGCGTACAATAGTCCAAAGTCAATTGGTTATATTCTATTTCTACATGTTTCTGCACACACATTTCCTCATGTTGCATTCGTTTCATCACAAGCAACACTCCCCGCCCAAGAGAGCACCCATGACTGCCGCGTCCCTGTGTTTGATAGCCATTTTCAGGTTGTAGTCCTTAATACCTTGCTCACCCTCATCAGCCGCCTTCCTGATTAGTTTGCTTATCGCGTCTTCACTGTTGTCTGTGTAATAGATGCAACCATGCGTGTGACGCGATATTGCTACTACCGCGTGTGGTACGCTGTCATGTATTTGATGTATCTTTGTTGCTGTGTTGACAACAATCACATTCGCACACGAAAGTCCCTGTGCCTCGTGTATCGTGAGCACGCGTGATCCCACGGTCGACCCGTATCCCTGGTTCTTAAGGGATTCCTTCTCTGCCTGAGTGTGTACCAGGTATAAAGTATCGGGGAGTGACTTTGGAATCATCGCCCCCGAGAACCTTTTTATCTCGAGGGATCTCACGAACGACCTGGACGAGTATATGCTACTGTAAACTGTGCTGAGGGCATACGCCACACCCATTGGATTTCTGTGGGTACACATCAATTCCTGGCTTATGGGCGTGATATATGTAGGGCGGCTGTAGAGTAGAGGGAAGAGGTTATCACGATCTATAAACGGAAGCTGATTTATGTCACCAATTAGAAGGACTTCCTTGGCTCGAGTTATTCGGGCGGCCATCACAACGGCTCCAAAGTGGTTCATGAGAGCCTCATCTACCATTAGTCGATGGCAGCTCTCTCGCTCCCCCAAGCCGTTTACTAGGATGGACGCCAATGTTCGAACCCTAGATTTGACCAGTCCTCCGATTCGGCAGGATAGTTTGCCTCTGAGGTCATTTGCTGCTTCGGTTGTCGTGGTGACAATTAGATCTTTGCCCGCTTCAAATTGATCTACTATCCATGTTGTTTTTCCGCAACCAGGGACGCCATTTGTCCAGCGAAACGTCGGAGTATGCCAGTCTCCAAAAACTTCGCCGTCTGATCCAGAATCAGAAAACCATGCATTGCATAACTCATTTGCGGTCACTCGACCACTCGATCTGGCAGTCATAAACACACATACATACCCATATTCCACACTATAAGTAAAAGGGTCTGGGTGTGATGTGTATGTGAACTTGTATGTTTGTAAACGCACCCACGACACAGGAGGTAATAATAATGTGGAACAACGTTTAAAAAAAAAACATAGTGCTTAAACTTAATACCTACTTAGCGGCCTTTTACAGACATTGCAACATTTTTAGATAATTAGGTACACATGCATTGTTATTAACATTAGTATTAAAATAATTGTAAGTCAAATTAAGGTAAAAATCAAATCAATACCTATTATACTTAGGTATAATTGCTGTCGAGTTTAGGATGTCAATAATAGAATTACTACCTACCTATATAAAAAATAATACAGGTATGTACGTGTAAGTAGGTACCTATCGAAACTGAAATTCAATGTCTACATCCGTTATATAACTAAAACAAAAGCCAGTTCTGTTTCGATTCAATCTTCTATTTGCAAACGTTCGGGCCCTGCCATTGTTTCTCATAAAGGCCATGGAACGCCATCTATAAGTAATAATGTCGTTACAATATTAAGCAAACCGATCGAAGTGTTTACTTTTCAATTTTCTTTTCAACTCCATCACAATAGAAAACTCTCAAGAAACGTAGTCTTTGTTAGTTTTAAATTATGACAAGAGATGTCGTTATGTTCAATATTGTACATTCGTATTTGGAAAGCTCTGCTGCTGTTCAACGGAGGAAAGTATTTCCTATTTTAGAATTTTACATTGGTTGCAAGTTTAATGATCAAAATTATTGGCAGTTAAGTCTGATTAATTAAAGTACTACCTACCTAAGTAGAGTACTTAATGGTTATGATTAAAGCTGAACCGTTGAAGATATTTTACTATATCCACCTCTTCATTAAGAATGTTTGAGACATACGTAACGTAATTATATAAATCTAATAAAAAAATAATTTTAAAAATATGTTTACTACTAATGCCATCTGTTGGTACCAAGAAGTGACTATGGGCTCAACTCAAAACCTTTTGTATCAAATCTGTTACAGAAAAAACAGGATGACAGAAAAATAGTATGCATAGAGAAGAGGATTTCACCTTTAATAACACTGACTAAATCAGTAATGACAAATACTATATAATCTAAATCAGTAATGACAAATACTAATAATATCTGTTTAGTTTCATCTTATACTTAAAAATATAAAAACGTGCCACGTATGCAATGGATTTATCAAACCAAAATTTTTGATGGTCTCTGTAAATATTCATTTTCAGTTTCCTTTTATTTAATTTCCTCTATTAGTTTTAATGTATTATAGGTTGTACTTATTTATTTCTTTTTACGGTCCTTGTAGTATTAGTTTGTTTAATATCAGTGTTTAGTATGTCAAAAAATAACACAATGGACATCTCTAAAAAAACTAAAGCTGTCAAAATCGGCGTCCTGTCAAACTGTCAAACAAGATATATTCTCTTTGAGTCAAACGAACGCCTTATATACGGCAAACTGTTTTTGTTTTACCCGTAATTCTCTTGTAAAAACAGATTCGCCTATCCACAATTTAAAGTTTAACGAGTGCCCGATTATTTAGGTAAGTACACTTATTTAATGTCTATATTTGACTATTTTTTATAACTTATTAAACATCATAGGTTATGTTTAAGAATTTCATAGTTTGTTGGCATATTTTTGTACATTCTCCTAATTTTATGGTGAACTGACGGTTTATTTCTTATTTTATTTGTTTCAATTTACTTTTTTAATGATTAAATGTAATCTTGACGTCCTAAATTCTTTTCTTTTTTCGATATCGAACACTGATTTGTATCAACACTTTCTCAATGAACATTGTCTTAGTATTACTCTGTAAACCGATCAAAACCATTGAAAAAATTATTGCAGAATGTCAAGCCAGGAGAATGAAGCCCCTTTGCCTGAAGGATGGGAGATGAGAACTAGCCGTTCCACGGGTATGACTTACTTCTTGAACATGTACACTAAGAAGTCTCAATGGGAGAGACCGGAGGCGCCTGCCGACCCTGGTGAAATCCGCTGCAGCCATCTCCTAGTGAAGCATGCTGAGAGCAGGCGTCCATCGTCATGGAGAGAAGAAAACATCACTCGTACTAAGGAAGAGGCTTTGGAACTTCTGAAAGGCTACCGCAAGCAGATTGTGGCTAGCGACGCGACTTTCACTGACTTGGCGTCTAAGTACTCTGACTGTTCTTCTGCTAAGCGTGGAGGAGACTTGGGCTTGTTTGGCCGTGGACAAATGCAGGCTCCGTTTGAAGAAGAAGCATTCAAACTAAAGGTGGGGCAGCTCAGCCGGCCCGTTGAGACTGACTCCGGAGTCCATATCATCCTAAGAACTGCTTAGATTTAAGTGTTACTGTGTTTTAATTCTGTTCTGTTGGCATAAATATTTTTAACCAATAATGGTACCAAATTACTTAGTATGCTAGCTATTTAAACTTTTTTTGGATTTATTGGATATAATGAGATCTATACAAGCCTTGGAAATACCTCAGAAATATTTACTTGTTTATAAAAATAAAATAGTCTAGCCCATAGTGTTGATTCTGTACTGCTCAAAAAGAAGTATATTGTTGATATACTTCGGTATTATGTAAACTGTCTACTCAAACAACCTTGTAATACGCTATGCATCATTATTGATGAAATAATTAAATATTTAGGGTATTTGGCTTTCAGTTGAATAAGTAATAGAAATGTTTATATTATTATCTTACTTCCATTAAACTCAATAATATTGTAAAAGACAATGTTTATTGAACTGTACAGTGATGCCCGATATTCTCAACCTTTGTGCCTATAACTAAAAGGACGAAAATAAATATGTTTTCTGATTCACATACTACATTTTATTATTTGTTCACCATAGAGTTGGGGAGAAATGAGTTGCAACATATAACTTAATACTTTATATATTCACTAACAAGATGCAGTAAATAAGAGTAACAAAGTCTTAACATTAGTTACATCAGTACTGCGTCGCTGACGAGCCCAGCCTGTCGTCAAGGACGCGGGACCCCCGAACTTTACGTTTTTTTTTAATTTTTCTAATATCAGTTACAAATATGGCACTAACATAACTATAACGGAACTATATCTATATTAGACCTTCAACAAATACAAAGTTCGGGAGCAAAACATCGGATCCACATTACAAAGCCTTTAACGTCGAGTCATCTTTATCCTGGCTGTTCCTTATTAGGAGTATCGTGTCTAACGTCGATTCCTTGAGGTTCTGTGGCGCGGGCGTCCAGATGGGGCCGATGATAGGCGGCGACCGCTTGCCTCCCCACGCGCTGAATTTCACCTTCCTCTTACCATCCTTCTTCAGGTTCACATCCAAATACGGATGTCCAGGTTTGAATATTTTAGGCAGAGACTCTAGAAAGCTCTTGAAGGGCATAGCTTCCCGCAGCGTCCTCTCGTCAGTCTTTGTGCTCAAGCCAAGATCTTGATAGGGTGCCGCTTGTCTAGTGTCGGGATGAATTGGAATCCAGCGAAGTTGAATCGTTCATTTCCATTTGGAGAGTAGTTGGAGACTATTCTCGTTAATTCGGGTATGGTTGTGGAGAAGATTATTTTGGAACTCTTGGAGCCGGGCTTGTAGATCATCTGGCCGCTTCGCTTTCCTCCCCAGGGGCTGAAGCGCACACGTTTAGGCATGCTTGGCTCTCGGATGTTACTGGCTCGTTTCCAAGTCCACATGTTCTCGATACTAGCCTTATCTCGCTTGCCTCCCCACGGACTGAAGTATTTCTTATCCTTGACATTCAGCAGGTTGGTGCCATTCTCATCGAGGGCCCCTTCGATGCTATTCATCCCAGGATTCCCGAGCTGTTCCTCCTGAGCGTACAAGTTTTGGTCCATGTCTATCATGTTGGGCAGCCATCGTTTCTCTCGGATTTCTTCTTGTTCCTCTGGGGCTCGTCGTTTTCTTGGGAGATCAGGTTGGTTATCTTCGTACGGACGGGTGGGGATATTTGGAGGAATGTTCTGAGCGGTTTCATAGTCGTTCCTCGAGGAGGGCAGGTTGAAGTAGTACGGTATGGGGTACTGTATGTTGGAGTCGACGGAGTTCAGGATGTAGCCGTTGGACCCGCCGCTGTTGAGATACTGCGGTCGCACGGTACCGAGCCATGAGAATGTGATGATGAGCCATTGGTGCAACATGATTCTGGAAAGAGATAAAGCTACTGTTAATTTCGATAAAAATATTCCATTATACTTATCTCTAAACACAATAAAAAAAATATAGTTTTAAGACGGCCTGGTAGGTAAAATGGGCAGGACCGAGCCTCGGTCGTGAGTTCTATTCCCAGTATAATTGAATAAAACACAAAAAACTAAACAAAGAGAGTATTTTTAAGTTGTTAGAATAAAGATATTAAAGATCAAATAATTAAGAAATTAGCGACTGTGCTGTGGAATGACAACCGGGCTAAGACAACAATCCACCCCTAGTAGGACAATCTATTCACAAGATAACGGATGAGAATTGGATCTTACAGATCTTGCTCTCCCTTCAAACAATAGAAGATGTGATATTATGTTAATATATTAAATTCACAAGTTGACGGTCAGACATGTCTAGACTCTAGTTTGCGTACATATTTAAATCGAGATAAACAATATTGACTTGCACGTAGCATCACTTGTGTTTATTTATCTAAAGAATTTGTGAAAATATTTCAGAAACCTATATTTTATTGTTTTTATAAATAAGTCTACGTCTACGTCCAAGTCTACGTTTTATAAATGCTAATATGTTTTTGATGAAGTTGTGAATTTGAATTTAACTTTGAAGGGAGCTTAGGTACCTCTACCTATATCTAAATAGATCAGTAGATATCCTCGAATATTAGAGAGTCCCAGAGAGCTGGATTACCTAATATTTTTATTATATACCAACTAAATACCTATTAACTCGTCGAGTACCGGTTTTATAGACACAATTAGAGAACAATAGGTCGCGGTCACCGGTGACCGCTTGGTGTTTGACAGATTAATAACCTGGGTGTCTTCAAGGTCCGAGTGAATAGGTTTCTAATGAGACGACATGCTCCACGTATACCGCATTATTGCTTACCACCAGGCGACATAGTGGTCAAACGTCGGTCCATCAAATATAAAAAAAATATTGGTAGGTAACCAACATATTTCTAAGAAATACTTTCTGATAGATAAATCTTCAAGGTCCATTTGGAATATTTTCAAGATAAATGTCAAACAACCCTTTTTTTGATGGGGGAAAATCATTCAATGACTTCTCCCGCCCAGGTGAGGCGGGAGGGAGTGTCAGACTCTTACTGACTAAAAACCACCCCGTTCCTACTTCTGCACTTCGAGTCGGAGCCGCAGCAACCCGTTAAATCTTCCAAGTCAAACAACCCTAGGGATTATCTGAACTTGAAAAAAGGAATAAGAGTAACTTAACAACATCCAGACTTACTTATAAACATTCATTCATTTATTATTTATAAAAAATCATTCTCCAAAACAAATTGCTTTCCCCGTCATTCACATAACCCATAGAGAAGTAGGTCGTGAAACGAAGCTTTTACGGTTACAAAGCGGTTGATGCGACGACGATACAAGATTATCTCGTGGCAGAGCAGCAGTAAAGACATTAGTCAGACTATAAACCGCGGAGTGGAGTTAAGGAGCTTCACACGAACGGACGACAAACGCGCGGTTTTAGTCTTACGTCAGTTAGGATACTTTGTTAGCAACATGGTTTACGGTATGATAGAGTATCTTTTCTATTATTTGATTCATTCACTAGTCAAGTTGTAAGTTCTGTTATTTGTATAGAATCGTCAATGTTCCAACCAACAGCACAAACGTACACATATTTATTTATTCTAAGCGTGTAGCGACTTTTACAGGTATTTATGTTTTCTTTACAATTGGCGTTTCATAGTCTCTGCCGACTCCCATGAGAGACAGGGTCAAGGTTTTCTTTACATATGAATTCTACTAATATTACAAAATAAATGCAAAGGTGCGTTTGTTAGTCTTTCACGTCTTAACGTCGCGTAGTTATTGTATGGATATCTGGAGATAATAAAATTAGAACGCGTGTGCTAATTTTTCCATGTAGGTAATTGACTGCCTTGACTGTCGCTATGCTGCGAGTAATTTCACATAGCTGTCTAAATAAGTCTAACCATTTAAACCGTACAATAACAATGTTCCTGTAAACGCACATCACGCGAGTTTTGTCTGAAAGTCCTTTATGACAAGTAGGGTTGTCACTCAATCATTGAACTACTGCTTTGTTGAAGCAATGTTCGCATGCGTGACCGATGGTTATGAATTAGAATCCTGAGCCTGATAAAGTACTTTTGACATTCAATATGAAGTTGACTGCCTCATTGGCCGAGTGGTCGCAAGTGCGACTGCCGGGCAAAGGGTCTCGGGTTCGATTCCCGGGTCGGACAAAGTATTACTGGGTTATTAAAAAAAAACAGTAGTAGCACGGAGTCTGGAATTGTGCCCGGTATATGGCATTAAGCTCACCCCCTATTACATGGGAATCATAACATAAATAGTGAAAAGTGGGTGTTACATTGTACAGTGGCATAATGTGCACCTCTGCCTACCCCTTCGAGGATGGGCTCGCTGCCATTGCAGCGGTAAGACCCCTCTTTGAGGAGTGGCTTGAGAGACGCTACGGCGTCCTCACCTACCGCCTGACGCAGGTCCTCACCGGACATGGAAGTTTCGGGAGGTACCTGTGTCTGATGGGGCGGGAGGAAACGCCTGGGTGTTATCACTGCGAGGACCGCCCTGAGGACACGGTGGAACACACCGTAGCGGAATGCCCTGCGTGGGCTGAACACCGCCGTGCCCTCAGGGAAGTGATCGGCGATGGCGACCTCTAGCGTCCGGGCCTAGTGCAGGCCATGATGCGGAGCGAGGGGGACTGGGATGCCGTCTCCTCCTTTTGCGAAGCAGTCATGCTAGCTAAGGAGGAGGCGGGGCAACCCAGCCATCGCGAAGGACACACCGGGCGTCGGGGATCGCGGGACGATCTCCGGCCACCGTAAGCGCGGGCCTGCGGACGGCGAGCATGGGTGGCTCCCCGTCCGACCAGAAACAGACCCGAGCGTACGGCGCGTCGCGTTCCGCGCGCGCCTCAAAGAGCCATCAGACCACCACAGATGGGGCCCAATAGGGCCGATGCAGATTCGGAGTCGCGGAGAACCTAACGGGTAACCGGGGCTCCGGCTCGACGTGCAGGAGAAGGAACGGGGTGGTTTTTAGTCAGTAAGAGTCTGACACTTCCTTCCGCCTCACCCAGGCGGGAGCAGTCATTCGATGATTTTCCCCCCTTAAAAAAAA